AATAAATATAAATAAACTAAATAAATGTGTAAAAACAGAATGAGGAAAAAATAGAATAAAAACAGTACAAAAATAAAAACAAAATGAATACTGAAAAAAGTAAGTAATGAGTAATGAGATATTCAAAGATATTAACATTATGGCAGATACCAGTAAGGGCACAGTTGTTTTCACGTTAATTCAGAGAACCGATAAATGGCAGATTTAAAAATTCGATAGTAAATTCGAAATAAATGTTCTTTATTTGCATCTAGATCCATGCACAGGCATTGCACAAAAGGTTCATTATAGTGAAAAATGTTCTTCACACTACGTTCTCTTAAGAACAGTTTACAAAAAGGTTCTTTGGGGAGCCAAAAATGGTTCTTCTACGGCATTACAGCGAAAACCTCTTTTTGAAACCTTTATTCTTAAGACTTAAGACTATAGATCAGCACTTTGTATAAATAATTAAAAAATAAAACACTAAAACCAAATTGTTATAAATGCTAATTTAGGGGTCATAACATATTAATGTACAATATAAAAAAAGAGATATTACTTTTAAAATGTGATAAAGAATTTAACCATAATATTAAATTATTAGTGTTATTAAACATTAACTTCAAAGGGAAAGTTTACCCAAAAATGAAAAATGAAGATATTTTGAAGAATGTAACCAAACTGTTGCTGGTAGCCTTTGACTTCAATTGTATTTTTTTTCTCCATACTATGGAAGTCAATGGCTACCAGCAGCTGTTTGGTTACATTCTTCAAAATATCATGTTCAACAGAAGAAAGAAACTCATACAGGTTTGGAACAACTTGAGGGTGAGTAAATGATGACAGACTTTTCATTTTTGGGTGGACTATTCCTTTAAGTGAGCATTAGTTATTGCCGAAGCTAATCTAAATTTAAAGGAAGTGGCTATTAATAATTATAGCTGCAGTTTAAAAAAAACAAATATTATGTGTATTATATAATGTGGTTTATTACTGTCTAGTCAAATTAAAACAAAAATATTACAGTATTGGTTTTGTGTTGAAAATACATTTATTTCGGACATAAAAAAAAACAAGCAAAGAGCACCGTTCCACTGGTGTGTTCGCTGTGCACCATTGTGCAGATTTCTACAATCATTCCTCCTCAGCCGTTGGCATAGCTGTTTATAATTAATGGCTCAGGCTTGTGAGGGAAAGCTAAGAGCTCCTTCTTTCACTCCCAGACTGCAGCAGGAGTGGGTTGAGAGGGGGGAGGGGAGGGGAGCGTTCCTGTGTCTTTATGTGACATACAATGAGAGGGAGAAAGTGAGGAGAAAAGGGGGTCATCTAATCAGCCCAGAAGAATTGGCAAAGACTTTTCAAGAGAAATATATTCCAGGCCAAAGCTCCTGGGGAATCAGTGTTATCCGTTTGCCGTGTCATGGGACACACCCCTCCTCTACTCGGAAAAGCCGCACACATCCCATTACAGTCCACTGGCGTTTCTGAGCATTCTCTAAACCGCAGTCAGGCAAAATGCACCTCAAAACACAAAGAGCCAAAAGCCATTTGCGCAGCTGCATCAGGATGGCACACGACACATACTGCACTGTCATCACACTAAATGAAAGCAGGTGTGAACAGCCGTGAGATTGAAACGCAAGAACGGCAGATGGCATTTTACTACACAGTATTTTCAAAAGACTTTTACTGATTGAAAGCGCTGATACGGCTTTTCGCAGTGATTAGACTTGGGAATCGATAACGTTGTGCTGCTCCAGCCACATATTATACCCCTGCTAGGATGTCAGAGCCAGTCTGCAGTATTTGAACTGAGAGACGATGGGCACGTTAGCAGAGAGGGAAGGGTACAGGTCCTGCCATATGAGGTTATCTACTTCTGAAAAACATATTCAAGTATATTCCACAAGACAGGGATCTTAATGTTGTTGTTTGAAGGCTTTTGGTTGCATGAGTCCCTCACTTGTCTTGAGTGTTACATCTGGACATCAACATTGAGGCATATGGTTGAGAACTCATTCAAACTGTCCTTGATGCTCAAGGAGGAAATATTAAGAGCCAATAATTTCTGTGTATACCTTTCAAAAGTTACAAAATTTTTTTTCAAATAAATGCTTTTCTTTTGAACTTTCTATTCATCAAATAATCCACAAAATATTATTTCACCACTGATAATAATAAGTAATGTTTCTTGAGCATCAAATCAGTATATTAGAATGATTCCTGAAGGATCATATGACACTGAAGACTGGAGTAATGATGCTGAAAATTCAGCTTTACCATAACAGGAATGAATATCATTTTAAAATAAAAAAACAGTTATTTTAAATTGTAATAGTAGATTTTTTTTTTTCAAATAAATGAGCCTTGTAGAGCATAAAACATGTTTGTTTTCAAAAACATAAAAAATCTTACCGACACAATCCCAAACTACTGAACGGTATTGTACATATATTTTATGTAAATCTGTTATGTCAAATTATAAAAAGCTTTTTTTTTTTTTTTTACAATTTTTCTCAATGCTTTCTTAAAAAGATAAACATTCAGATTCTATAAGTGGTGTTAGCAGAACTGAATTCTGTGGTTCCAAGGCAACAGGTAAACTGCAGTGTGACATTGTGGAAGCAGAGCCTCCCTGTGGGTGAGGCAAGAGTGTGTGTATGTGATGGGGGAAGCTCCTCGGTTTCTCCAACAAAAGGTTGATAGAGCTGTAATCCTATCTGCTATTGTCCTACCAAATGCTCCAAGTGAACGCTTAAGACGTGATTAAGAGTTTAATGGTTCCACAGTCTGCCTTTCAGACTTTTTTTGTGTTCATTCATCAGGGATGAATGCAATGAATGTGAAGGCAGCTTCCCACTGTGTTTAGTAATGTTCATTTAACATTATGCAGCTTTAAGGATTTCTGAGCCACACTGTGTTTTGCTATGTCCCCATTGACAGTATTTTCTGTTTATATCTCTTTTTTTCTGTTATGGCAGAAAGCTTGGAGTCTCTAGAATATTTCTTTTCTCAACTTGACAAAGATCATCATAAAGGGATAGTGCACCCAAAAAGGAAAATTCTGTCATCATTTACTCACCCTGTTGTTGATCCAAGCAATTCTTTCTTCTGTGGAACATGAAAGAAGATAATTTGAAGAACATTGAGAAACAAACAACATTGGAGTCTACTGACTTCTGTAAAAAAAAAAAAAGGCTGAGACATTTCTTATGCTCCATAGAAGTCAGTCAGTCATACAGGTTTGGAACAACATGAGAGTGCATAACTAATAACAGAATTTTTCATTTTTGAGTGAACTACCCCTTTTACTTTTGGTCACACGTGAATACTATGTATGTAGTAGCACACCAAGGAGCTGTCAAGTCCAAAGGTGCTGAACTAAGGCAGGAAAACACATTATCTGATCATAGATAAAAATAGACTATATCATACATCAGCTGCAGTTAGTTAGTTAGGCTCAACTAGGGCCACATAAAGTTTTAACTTACTGCTTGACAGGTAAATTCAGACCTATTACCTGACATGGCAATAGAAAAAAATTGCTAGCTCACATTTTAGAGAAACCAAATCAATTCCCATTTATCCACAAAAGATGAACAGCAGAGACAATCAAGTTTTTTTTTTTTTTTTTTTTTTTTTTTTTAT